AGGACACGTGTGCTAAAAATTTGATTTAAAGCTTTTGCAGCTAGCTAGAAGAGCTCAAAGTTTGGTTGTGACGACTTTTCTCGCGAATTGAGCTTTCTTCAATATTAGGGGAACCGTTAAAGCTATCGTAATCATAAATAAAGCTATCGTAATCATAAAAAAAAGCTACCATAATCATTAAAATGACTGCCGTCATGATTTTCTACTCTTTTTAAATTTCTGAGTATAGTAGCGCGAAAATCCACTGAAAATCGTAGTTCATAGTACGATTTTAGCGTATAAAACATAGAAAATAGCATATAAACTCGACTTTGAGCCGCCTAAATTTTCTTAAAACCGTACTGTACTCATAGAAATGAATAGAAGTGAATACAAAAACGAATAGAAATGAATAGAAAATGAATAGAAAATGAATAGAAAATGAAGCTAGAAAATGAAAAATAGAAAAGGAATAGAGTACGATAATTATAGCGCTTTTCAAAAGCTTTTAAAAAACTATCTTTTTTCAATTAAACATAGTCAAAAAGTGTTACAAAAACTTTAAAAAACGTAAAATTCTCCGTTTCAAATCAATTCAATTAAGCTGCTTTTGAAATTGAAATCTTTAAAATCTAAAAGCTTGCTGCTTTTTATAAAAAGTAAAAGTATGAGTTAAAAGTACATCAAGCTACGAAAAACAATTCAAAAACGAAAATTAAAGTCGTGTGAAAAATAAGATCGTGTAATTATCGACGAATTTAGGGGGAAAAACCGAGGAAAGGGGTGAAAAAAGGGACGCGAAGAAGCGAGGTGACTATTGAAATGAAAAAGCGCATCTAAAAGGCACAAAAATCGTAATCCTATTCAAAAACTACCGTAACTCATTTATTTGAAAGATATCTAAAGTCTACGATAGCTACGATAGAAGAGAAACTTTTAAAAAAGTGTGCTTGTCTTTTCCTCTTTCTACCGTAACCCTGTCTTGTCTGTCTTCTACCGTAATCTTGTCTGTCTTTTTTTTTTGGGGAGGGGGGTGAGACAAATGCGACCTTTTTTTTGCGCACTCGGCCAAAAGCGTTGCTTTTTTTCGCTGGAAAAGGCCGTAGAGCTTCAAAAATGTTTCCATGTTAGGGAATCATATGCGTAGATTTCGAATTTCGACAAATCAGACCTCGCTGACTCGTCAAATTTGGACTAAAGGGCAAAAACTGCGAAAAAGCGTTAAGTTGTGTGATTTTTGCCTTTTAGTCCAAATTTGACGTGTCGGCGAGGTCTGATTTGTCGAAATTCGAAATCTACGCATACGATTCCCTAATATGGAAAGGTTTTTGAAGCTCTACGGCTTTTTTCAGCGAAAAAAAGTCGCATTTGTCTCACCAGCTTTTTTTCTCGTCTGCCTTCTACCGTAATCTTGTCTGTTTTTTGTCTCGTCTGCCTTCTACCGTAATCTTGTCGGTTTTTTGTCTCGTCCGCCTTCTACCGTAATCTTGTCGGTCTTTTTGTCTTGTCTGCCTTCTACCGTAATCTTGTCTGTCTTTTTGTCTGGTCCGCCTTCTACCGTAATCTTGTCTGTCTTTTTGTCTATTTCTTTTTATTTTTATTTTTTGTTTCTTGTTATTTTTTATTTTTTAACTAATCTTTGATTTTTTCTATCTTTCGATATCCTTTTTGAACAGAAACAAACAAAAAGTAGATAGATTTGATAAAAATAGAGACAACAATTACGATAAAAACGATAAAAACATAAAATTAAATAAATAAATAAAAATAAAGAACAAAAATATATTAAAAAAACTGCCAAGTATGATTTATTTTATTTTATTAAGCAAAAAGTAGATAGATTTGATGAAAATAGATTAAAGATTACGATAAAAAAACTGCAAAGTACTGAAAGAATAAATTTGATTAAACAATACAAGAACTACAAGCCAGATTAGGCCAAATTGCAGTAGTCAAGGAAGAGAAAGCGCTTTAGAAGCGTAAAATTTGAAATTACCTTTAGCAGTTAAGGAAATTTGACTTGAAAAAGGCGAAATCTTCAGCCAGATTCCCGGCTTTTCCAAAAGGCAAAAGTTTAGGGAATTCTTTAAAAATACATTAATTCAAACGAAAAATTCATTTCAAACAGTACATACCGTAAATACTGTATTAGTACCCGACCCCCATAATGACGGTGCGCAGTGTTGCGTAGTCTAGCTTTGAATGAGTTTTTCTCGACACTGGTTTATGGTACAATGCGCGTTTAGGTATCAAAAAATAGCTGAAATTCAGGGCTATTTTTTGATACCAAAGCGCGCATTGTAGCATAAACCAGTGTCGAGAAAAACTCGTTCAAAGCTAGACACTACGCAACACTCCGCACCGTCATTATGAAGCTGGGGTACTATTAAAGTATTTACGGTAATTACAATCTCTAAGCCCTAGAAAAGAAAGAAATCGATATATATGAGAAAAAGAACCAAAAATCTAGCTGACGGGATTGAACCTTGGACCTCTTGGGAACCCGCCTGGGAAACAGGGCTCTTAGCCAGTCGGCCATAGAGGGCCATAGAGGCCATAGACGAAGCTAATCTGTTCTAATTCTACTTGAGTCAGTCTAGTTAGCTTTTTAGCTATTCAGCTGTTATTTGATAGGGTCAAAAGTAAAGCCTTTAATCGAGCTAAAGGCCCAAAGACCCTGGGGTCTTTGGGCCAGAAGGCCAGTAAAGGCCTTGAGCTAGAGCCTCAAGGCTAAAGCCTAAATCTTTCCTTTACTCTCTGGGGTTAGAACTTACAACTAGCAGCCAACTAGGGTCTGTACTTTGTCTTGCAAATGCCAATCTTCTGGAACACTGAGGTACAACTTAGTTACATAGTACTGGACAGGGTCCTAGAGCTTGAAGCCTGGAACCCTAGGGCCTTGGGAGCCCTGAGAACCCTGGGAATCCTAAAGCCTAACATTCTCGACTTAACCTATCAACCAGATAAACTTTGTACTCTGAGCATCTCCCAGGCACTGAATCCATTTCTCTGAGACCCAGAAAAGAGTCAGTGTTCCAGAAAGCGCGCTTCCAAAGCAGTTGAAGTCAGTCAGTCAGTCAGTCAGTCACAGCCCCAGAACTTCAAGCAAAGAAACAGTTCAAATCCGAAGTCAAAACTAGAAATTGAGGATAGGATGGGGGAGACCCTTTGGTGGGGGTGAAGGGGGTGAAACGAAGGAGAGTCTCTCCCCGGGCTACACAGGGGAAAGAGGAACAAGAAGAAAAAGGGAACAGGAAAAGAGGAGAAATTGGACTTTGCAGTCGGGCAGACAAAAGCCAGAAAAAGAAAAGAGTTTGAGAATAGTGTAGAGATTGGAGAGGAGCAGGGAATCGATAGGTGAGAGTGGGGGAGGGTGGAGGGGAGAGGTTGGTGGGGTGGAGGGGAGTGGGGGAAGGGGTGGAGGGGAGAGGTTGGTGGGGTGGAGGGGAGTGGGGGAAGGGGTGGAGGGGGAGAGGTTGGTGGGGTGGAGGGGAGTGGGGGAAGGGGTGGAGGGGAGAGGTTGGTGGGGTGGAGGGGAGTGGGGGAAGGGGTGGAGGGGAGAGGTTGGTGGGGTGGAGGGGAGTGGGGGAAGGGGTGGAGGGGAGAGGTTGGTGGGGTGGAGGGGAGTGGGGGAAGGGGTGGAGAGTTCTAGATCCGAGGGTGGATGGATAGTAGAAGAGGAGTGAGAGGGTCAGGGTTGATCGGAGAGGTGTAAACATTGCAAAGAGGTGGAGAGCCGGGGTCCTTTGAGCACTGGAAGTGTGTTAAAGAGCTGAGAGACGAGGGTGGGGTTTAGCTGGTTATAGATGGAAGAGGTGAGGGAAGAGATGGAGGGTGATGATTGTTGGAGTGAGTAGATAGCGCAGGAGTGGTGTGGGGGAAGAAGGAGAGGTTACATTGGCATAGAAATGAGTTAGTGCATAGATTTGAGGCAAAATATGGAGGAAACAGGTTACTGAAGTGATAGGAGAGTGTTGGAAGAGTTGCGAGCATCTGGGATTGCACTAGACCAAAGAAGAGATGGAGAATCGAGTCGCGCAATTCTATTAAATAGTACACAAGAGGTGGAGGAGCTAGACGAGGGGAAATCGACTAGAGTACAAGACGAGGAATGGAGACAACAGGGGTGATGGTTGAGGAATGGAGACAAGAGAGCCTCGCCTTTCACCCTCCACCCAACCGCCTAAGCATGGGGGAACCTATAAGGGGACCACCATCTCTCCTTTTATCCCGGCTCTTTATTTGGGAAACGATTGAAGATTTTTGGCGGGGGAATTGAGCTAGAGGCTTTGAAAATGCGAATGGAGTGATTGGGGATGAGGGATTGGACTTTCCAGATTTACCAGAGCCAGAACATTTACGAGAATCATGAAGAAATGAAGAAAGTCTCATGGGATCAAAGATTTATAGATTTATGGGATAAAAGCTAAATTTTCTAGCCGCTGCGATCAAACCTGTGATCTCTCGACTAGGAGAAGACAAGACAAGATGCCTAACCACTCGTCTATGGCGGTACGGGATAAAATCCTTCATAACTTGGATACTATTGAACTAGATACAGATCTAACCAATACAACAAGGCTAGGCAGCCAAAAGCGCTTCGTTCTCCGCTTAAATTTTTGACTCTTTATTATAGCCAGAAAGGTTGTGGTGAGAGTTGCAAGATTGTGCCAATTTGTGTTAGATTATATCGTTTGAGATGTACTTTGAGGTCCAGGACAAACCAAACCAGACAGGTTCAGACAAACCTGCCCAGGTTTTTAACTAGTCTCCTACATTGCTCTGTTCTGATAAAAGTCTCTACTCGAAGAGATTTACAATTGTAGGTTCTCGTTTTTGAAAACAAACCATTCTGATTTCTTTTCCCTATGCTCTACTTTAATATTAAAACGATAAATGCTGTTGTTTACCGCCCAATTGCCACGTGAATTTTCTGTAAAATCTTTATAACCCATACTCCAAAAGCAACTTGTTAATCAGAAAATCACCAAGATCTAAAACAATAAAGACTAGCAAAATCAATAATTAGCCACATCATCGGGGTGATAATAATCACCAATAAGACGGTAGATATGTGAAGGCATTATTGAAGCCGTATTTGAGACGAACAGAGTGATCAGATTTGCGGGAATCATCTCCAAAGCTGGTTGAAGTACACGAACGCGTCCTGAAAAAGACGTTAAAAAGAAAAGATGTTAAAGTTAATCTCAACTGATTCTTATTAAATTTCCATTCAAATCTCTACTCGAATCAACCGTCTTCTGTAATTTTGTTAAAATACTACCTGCCCATTTGCTAGCCATAGCGACAGGAAGTCCTGGTAGCGAATGTTTTATCACTGCTGATGAATCGGGCACAAAAAATGGAGCAATCTTGTAAAAGGCGCACAAAACGTAAACCTGAACTTTTTAATAAAGGTAAAACAAACGTTTATATACCGGAACCGAATGTCGATGAGCCGCCAAACAAATCGAGAGTCCACCAGCCGGCGCCAAGCATGAGCCATCTGGGAAAACCGTTGCTCCGGAAAGAATTACCTAAACCAAACAGATATCCTTTGAAAACTTTCCACATACCTTCGTAGCTTCACACATTTTTCCGGCAACTTCGCATAAACTTATTGAAACCGCATCATGATCGTCGGGTTCCGTGGGAATTTGAACAGAGAATACCTGTAAATCAAAGTTCTCCATAACTTTTCAGTGCAAAACTAACCCTCGTTTTCTTATCCTTTTTGGCTCCGGCTAGAAATGAAGAAAGAGTAGTCGATGTGGACAGCGAATGCACAATTAGCACGTCATTCATCTAAAACCAAAAAGCTTTAGAGAAAAATGATCCGCTTACATGCACCAAATATTGCCCTTGTGCTGAAATGTGTTCTCTGCAGGTTTCCATCTCTATTTGTATCTAAAAGCAGTAATTCAGTTACAAATTAAGCAATTTAGTAACAAGTTGAATTTAAACTTACATCATTGACAGCTTGAATCAATTTCTTCCTGATCGTTTTAGCTGATCGTCCTATTTGATTTTCTTTATCCTCCTTTTTCCACAATTTGTTGAGTGAATCGTACGGAGAGTCGAATTCTCCGTTTGTTTCTCGAGAGTTGCTTTCTCTTGCCAACTAAAAGGATATTGCCCTTGTGGTGAAATGTGCTCTCTGCAGGTTTCGCCTCGCAGAGAACTCTATAGTATCTAAAAGCAGTAATTCACTTACTTTGCAAACTATGAGCACTAAATTTCGATATTTTAAAAAGTCAATGCCTTTCTTCAACATTTATACTTCAGTATGCACTCATATAAACGTTAAACTTAACACTTACCTTGCAAACCATGAGCACCAAATTTCGCATCACCAATTCGCTTGGATAGGCGCCCGAAAGGATCAATCCATTTTCTCGTAACAACGCCAATAGCTCCCTAAATTTTTTACATTAGATCAATTTCATCCAGTAAAAGACTTACTCAAGATTGTTGTACGTTCCATGTAAGACGACTTTGCGCAAAAAGTTCAGCGTGTCAGTAGCTAGCTTGAACGACGGTTCCCTGGTTGTCCTAAAACAAACATAGGCACTATTAAAGTTGAGGAATTCCACCTTTTTCGAAATTTTCTATTATTTTTAGGTTTTCAAGTACGCTGAGCATTGTGCTTTGACTTGTGACATTTTAAGCGTTTTTAGCGCTTTCAATGCAAATTTCTAAAACTAAAAATTATTAGTAACAATTGCTTTGTCGTAAAAAATGTCTATACCCATGCGAATAGATCAATCCAAGCTTGAAATTCTGATTTTGCTATTATAATAACCCCTAACCCAACGGCCCTCTTTAAAACCACAAAGATAGCTAAAACGTCGCCGTTTAAAGCCTTCATTTTAAACTATTAGTTTGCAAATTTGCATTTAAATTTTAAAACGCTAAAAACCTTTCGAGGTACAACTTTCGAAATTCAAAAAGTCTAATTTTTTTTATTGAAAACTGAGCTTAAAAATCTGATATTCGTGCTCAGCGTACTTGAAAATCTAAGAATAGCAGAAAATCTCAAAAAAAAGAGTGGGGTTCCCAACTTTTATGGTACCCAAACATGTAACAAAAAAAACGTTAAAACACATCCACTCATAAACTTGTTAAGAACAAAGACTATAGTAGTAGTTGGGGGTGGGGGTTTGCCAAATGAGCTGATTTTTTTTGCACCCAGGGGTTTTTGACTATGTTGGATCAACTGGTGATGGTTTCACACCACATTTTACGACTTTTAACGTTTGTGACAAATGTATGAAAAACCTAATGTACTTATTCTGAGAGGAAGTGGCCAAAAAGTACCCGTTATCTTGAGTCATGTTCTCGTTGGTAACTTGTTGGCACTTTGTTGTTGTTATTTTTGTTGCTATTTGTTTCAAACGCTGTGAAATATTGTATGAAACCATTACCAATCGATTCAACATAATCAAAAACCCCTGGGTGCTTTTTCAATTTTTCTGGGGTAATCGATAGCGCTAATCACGATAAAAGTGTTTCAAGGTAGGTTGTCCATAGTTTTTTGAGTTTTTAGCCTTAACTTGTGTATCTTTAGTTTACTCCACTAAGTCACTATGTCAAACAGAAAGAAAACCTCGAAATGAGACCATAAAGGAGTTAACCTCTTAACCAAAATCATTTCTCAAAGCTTTTAGGACCACTCAACTTAAATCAACAAGATAGAACTCAAAAGGTTCAATTTAAAATTTGGGCTTCTCTGGCCTAATTTTGAGTCTCCCTTTTAACAAGTTAATCCTGCTAATCTGTACAGTAAAGACGCGTTACTTTAGCACTTCAAAACACTCAGAACAAAAGAAAATGGATCTTTACGGTTAATGGCGGGGGTCAAGTTTTTGACCAACTTGCAGCCCGATTTTATAGAAGCTGCTTTTAATAACTTTTGATAAAACAAATAGTTTCTGAAAGCTGACGTTCTAAGCTATTCAAAATTTCCTGATCCGACAAGTTTAAGGTACTTAAAAATGAGCTGCAAGTCGGACAAAAAATGGCCCCGAAGATAATCGCTACCCCCGCCGTTAACCGTAAAAATCCCAGAAAATTCACAAGCCTTTACGCAAAAAAAAACCCTTTCTGATCAGCGCTATCAATTACCCTAGAAGAATTGAAAAGGTCAAAAATATAGATGCCTTCTCCGAACTACTAGCACCCAAAGACTTACCGTATTTCTTCGAATAGAAGACCGGGTAAAGAGTATGATCGCGTACTCCTGCGTAGCAGCCCTTTTTAAAATTTCTTTTCTGCATAAAAGCTTTCAATCAAGTGTGATAGAGCTGGAAAATGGCTCAAAAATACCACATGAGCTAACAGATTTTTGAGCCATTTTCCAGCTCTATCGCACTTGATTTAAAGCTTTTATGCAGAAAAGAAATTTTAAAAAGGGCTGCTACGCAGGAGTACGCGATCATACTCTTTACCCGGTCTTCTATTCGAAGAAATACGGTATTCAGTCAACGCCAACAACTCATAAAACTGAATTCAGCGTTATGATTACCTTACAACATTGAAATTATCGCCAAACTAACCTTCGTCTCAAGTTGATCAACAACTGCTTTCTCCCCTCCTCTATCAATAAATGTTTTCTCCCTTCCTCGATGACTTCCTGTCTTGTGCTTGCGGTGGTCATCGTTTCTGGACTCTAAAATTGTAGATTACTTTGAAAAGCATAAGAAAAGAAAAAACAAAGGTCCAAAAGATAGTTGTGTTATAAATTTTGATGAGGTAATGTGGAAGAAATGTTGGCAACAAGCCAAAAATTTGAACTAGCGCCCTTTTTTGAAGAATTTGGGTGACTGGGGAAAACATTTCAATATTTACCGTCTTACGGAAGCTCTTAAAAAAATTTGTCGATACTTTTTATGGTATTGAAAAAATAATAACAGCTCTATCTTTGGGATTAAAAACAACAAAGATTCGTCTTAAAATGTTCACTTCGTTAACTGAATATCCAAAAAGTTGTTAATAATCCTTTAAAAGCTTTACTTTCTTGAAAAAAGCATTTTTCGTAACTTTCCTTTCGAGCTCGGTTAGCCAACATTTCTGCGTGCTTTTTTTGTATTTTAGAGTAAAAACCTTTCCAACTTGCTTGAAAACCAAAAATTCCCTGTGCATCAATACTGATTTGACAAAAATCACAGCCGCTCTCGCGACCGTGATCGTGAAACGATGATTCATTTGATGTTAGAAGTGATTTTAGGCACTAAAGACTTTTGCTTTTTGTTTGGCTACATTGCTTTGTTTTAAATAACCGCAAATACCTAATCTTTTCGTTTAGGGAAAACTATACGTTCAATGGCTGCGGGAAAAGTATATGTCGGCGGCTTACCCGATGATGCCACATCAAAAGAAGTGCGTTTGACGTTTTTATTGAAATCTAGCTGTAGTTTTAGCTTTTTGAAGATATTTTAGTCGTGATTACCTAATTGTTTTCAAATGTTGCTTTTTAGATTGAGGACGCTTTCTACAAATTTGGACGTATTTACAAGGTTTGGGTCGCTCGGCGCCCACCAGGCTTCGCTTTTGTCGAATACGAGGATCAACGTGACGCTGAGGATGCTGTAAGAGCAATGGATGGAGCGTGAGTTTTTTCATGTTTTAAATCGGTAAATAGGCAGATTCAAGCGGAACTGCCTACTTTAGGCTAAAGAAATCCATGCGTTTATTTAATCATATGTCAATTTTAGCCGCGTTTGTGGCGCTCGAGTTCGAGTCGAATTGAGTCACGGTCGACGTCGTAATGGAAATGGTGATCGCGGAGATCGTGATGGTGGTGGTGGTCGCGGTGGTGATCGATATGGTGGCGGTGGAAGCCGAAGGTAGTTTTACTAATAATGCATTAGATAATGTGCGCTTATGAGCGGCTCTGAGAACTTTTGACATAACACTTTTTTAAAAATTTGTTTTCAATTGAAACAACTGGGGAAAGATAGGTGCTAAGATTCAAAATAAACTCAATTAACGTGATTAGTAGTTTAGCATCACCCCTCCTCATCTTCTTCATCCACCCATCTAGACTACCCAGGCTACCCACTTGGTTTTGCTAAAGCACCCATCCATCCTTCATCGGATCTGTGGGCAACTTTGCTGTTAGGGCTCAAAAGAATTGCATCATTAGCTGGGATAAATGCAATCAATAGGAAATAATCTTCTAAGTAAATTTTTTCTTTTAGGTCTCGATCTCGATCTGGTGGTCGCGGGGGTCGCAGCCGCTCTCGCGACCGTGAGCGTGATAATTCGCGCAGCCGAAGTCGCAGCCCACGCTCGCGCACACGTTCAAAGTATTTGTTTTGTCATTTTAAAAGTAATAAATGTGTTTTAGGAGCCCAGCCGATCGTTCGCGTTCGCAAAGCAAATGAAGCCAATGATTTATTTGTTCTTATCTAATTTATTATATTTTGTTCTCTCCTCCAATAAATTGTTTTGATTAAAAAGATTAGCTTTTAAAAGCATTGTCTGAATACAGCTATTTGCATTGCATTGAGAATTCTAAATTGTCCGTTTTGCTCAAAATGACTCGGGAGTTGGACGCCATAGTTATGCTTGTACGCAACTTGACGCGCAACGCAGAGTTGCTATGCTTTCGTAGAGTTGGATCAAAAATTTTCGTCATTTTCCTACCAGATTGAATGCATTGAGGATTCTAAATTGTCCGCACTGTCTTTCTTGCTTTCACCACAGTCCACAAATTTTGTTTTCATTGCTTTAAATGCTAAAGGGCACTTTTTGATAGTTCTTCTTGTTATCGCGTTTCAACGAGTTGAATCTAACCTACCTTTTCTTCATTAATTCTTTTCAACCTTTAGAAAATGGCGTTGCCACCAAATGTCAATTATGCTCAAATCGATTCGCTCGTTGTGATGAAAATCGTTAAGCACGTGGATAGCGAGCTGTACGCTGGAATGAGTGAGGTTGGGACTTGCGTTTTAAGTTATATGTCCTAATTTAGGTTTTTATTGTTTTAAGACACAAAATTTCAATGAATTAGAACATTTACTGACTTGTCAGATTTTAGATCGCTGGAGAAAGCTGTCAAGGCTTGTTGACGGGGCTTGTCACTGCTGAAGAGAATCGACTCGAAATCACAAACTGCTTCCCAACGGCAAGGAGTGAACCAGTTTTGGATGTAAGAATTTATTTGCTTCTAAATATATAAATTAATTTGATTTAGAATGACGATGGCGCCCAGCAAACAAATACACAACACGAGGAATTAAAACAAGTCGAAATATTGGACATGCTTCGCAAATTCAGGCATGTTTAATGTTTATGGTTTCGAATTTATGTTCTCTCTTTAGGAATATGAACATCGATTACGAGCTGATCGGCTTCTACCAAGCACATCCATTTGGTGCCTGCTTTACTCAAGATCTTGTGGATTCGCTCTTCGAATATCAAACCGTGTTTCAGGATGGAGTTGTTCTTATTTATGGTAAAATTGGTAACAACTTAGTCTTGATTTTTGTTATTTTTAGATCCCGTACAAACTCGCCAAGGACAACTGAGTCTTCGAGCTTATCGTCTATCTGTTGCGGCCCTCGAATTGTGTCAAAAGGGCGACTGGGGACCAGAAGCGTCAGTTTTAAAGATAGAAATAAGCTAATATTAATGCCGTTGCATACGTGTATTTTTAGGGTCAAGGCATCCAATCTCACCTATGAAACGATGTTTGAAGAGTTGCCGATTGTGATCAAGAACAGTCGTCTAACAAACGTGATGATCGCTGAGTTGGCCATTGCACCCGGGAAACTTGCCGAGAAAACCTCAGCGCATTTGGAATTGGGAACAAAAAGGTTTATTGTTGCAAGTTTAAAAGCTTTATAAACTTTTATTTTAGGTCATTGGAGAAATGTGTACGAGGAATGATGACCAATATTGACGAATTGAATAAAAGCATTTCTGCCTACACAAAATTTGTGGCGGAGAAACAACGACACGATGCAAACGTCTACAATATGACGCAAAAGAGGGTAAATTGATCTGCTGAAAGCAATACGCTAGTTTGGCTCCGTAAACAATTTTGGACATTGATATTTAGGAGCTCGAGAATGAGCAACGTCGACAGCGTGGAGAACCGGTGATGTCTTTTGATGACATCAAACGATTAAAAGGACCTCAATTGCAGACAAAGAGTGGGATGCTCGAATCGTTTCTTTTAAGTGCTGACACCGAGTCGCTGGCCGATTTTTGTACAAAGGTTTCTTTATTTTTAATACAAGTCTCTAACTTTTAAGTGAATCAGTAGGGCTTGTTTAGATAGAGAATATTAAACTCACGTTGCCAGATTTGAATCTACACCATATCTTGACTGTCTATTTTAGGTGACTGGAGAAAACATTGCCAAATTGTTCCTTGCTGAAGCCATCTCCGGTTCGGATAAACGGGAATCAAAGGATCGCAGTTTAAGTTCAGTGTCCGGACGTTAATTCATTGTTCGGTTTGTTGTTTTTACCTTTTGTCTGTTATGATATCTTATGGGATTGTTCGTATTTCGAGTTAAATAAAGTTTTATTAAGAGGTAAGGGTTTGGGGAATTACATGTGCTGGAGCGTTTTTCATCCCAAAGATTGTTGATTGCCTATTCGAGTGATCACATCTCGAAAGATCGAGGCGCCTTTTTCAAGAGTGTTCATGTTCTGAAAATTTATTGGATGAATAAGAGTACCTAGATATCAACTCACGGCTCTAGCCGAGTTACAGCCATCAATGCTACAACAACATAATGTTGCAGAAAAGCCGAGCACAGAGCTTTGTACACATTTATCTTTAGCTGCCTGGAAGTAAAAAATTTTAGAGAACCGGTGTCTCAAAGCAATGAATTCAGGTCAAATAAGCTTTTACCATGCACAGATACGAATTTCCGCATCCGCCCGTTCGAAAAGCTGTCACACTGATGTCAGCGGTGGCATTGTAGCAATACTGGGCTGAAATTTTCTTGACACTTACGAAAAGTTGTTACTTTTATTGGCTTATTATCAAATTGATCTATTGTTAGTTTGGTGAGCGTTTCTAAACGAGCAATTAAAACAATTGTAACTCACACGATGAACAATCCACTTGTTTATCGGCGAAATCACCACCTGGCGTGTAACTCGTTCCCGAATAGCAGCTGAGAGTGAGAATTGGTGGGAAAATTAAAAACAAGATCATCAGTGAATTCATCATTTGATGGTGATGATGATGGTGAACTGTGGCACGGGAGTTTCTTTTGAGAAAAGTTTTCCTTTCCATTTCCCTACCTTCTTATGTTTACTTTTCACGAGTTGACTCCCAAATAGATGAGTTCCATTGATGTGAAATGGAAAAACACACTCGTTTTTTTTTGAATTTGATGAGTCAGAGGAAAGGACGAAATTTTTTTGAGCATACCGTAAATACTGTAATTAGTACCCCAGCTTCATAATGACGGTGCGGAGTGTTGCGTAGTGTCTAGCTTTGAACGAGTTTTTCTTTACACTGGTGTATGCTACAATGCGCGCTTTGGTATCAAGAAAATAGCCCTAAATTTCAGCTATTTTTTGATACCAAAGCGCGCATTGTAGCATAAACCGGTGTCGAGAGGAACTCATTCAAAGCTAGACTACGCAACACTCCGCACCGCATTATGGAGCTGGGGTACTAATACAGTATTTACGGTACGTATTTGACTCAATGACACGCTTATGGTAGGCTAATATAATGCCATAAATACGGTACTTTTCAAATTGCGCTTATAGTAAAGCGCCTGTTCGCTAGCTTCGGGTCTTCGCTGGCTTCGGGTCTTCGCTGGCTTCGGGTCTTCGCTAGCTTCGGGTCTTCGCTAGCTTCGGGTCTTCGCTAGCTTCGGGTCTTCGCTAGCTTCGGGTCTTCGCTAGCTTCGGGTCTTCGCTAGCTTCGGGTCTTCGCTAGCTTCGGGTCTTCGCTAGCTTTGGGTCTTCGCTAGCTTTGGGTCTTCGCTAGCTTTGGGTCTTCGCTAGCTTTGGGTCTTCGCTAGCTGATACGATACCCAAGAGCTGCTTGAGTTCTCTTGAATGCTTGAATTGAGATCGGCACTTAAAATCTGTGCAATCAAAAGCTGAAGGATGGAATGGGTAGAATCTACAGTGTTTTAATGTACTCTGCGATTACTAGTACTTGAGCCTTTTCATTTAGATTCTGTTGTGCGGATTTAGTACCGTAATTGGAAAATCGAGATTGGATATCCTTGCTTTACATTTCGAGTGTCCCCCATTGCTAGAGGTGTGCCCCCCTTGCTAGAGGTGTGTGTCCCTTGCTAGAGGTGTGTGTCCCCATTGCTAGAAGGATTTTGTGTTTTTCTCGACACACAATTTATCAATCGGGTTGTTTTTGGTTTCATTGGATAGAGAAAAGTTGATCGATCATCATCGGCTGATCAACAAGCAAATTTTTGAAGAAAAAAAGTCCCCCCCCCAACTAGGATAGTACCGATTTGCTTATATTGGTCAGCGGATCTGTCTTTTAAACCAAAAGCCAGGCTAATACATTAAGATATGGCAGTAGGTTCTTTGATAATTTTATAGCGATAACCGCTGGGCTTGGAGCTGAGCCAATAGACTTGGCTATTGGCTAACAAGAGTTAACGATGGGTCGCACAACTCCAGGCGCTTGATCTCGCCTCCAGAGTATTGGATTCCAATGAACTTTTTTTTTTCTATTTAAAGCCAAGACTTTAAGCTATCTAATGATACCCATCACTAATATTTTTGTTTTGAGAAAGTCGTTCAAAAACCTTATCGAGATTTAACGAGATAACGAGGATTGTCTAGAATTGTCTCGTTAAGTCTTGAGAAGGCTTTTGACTCCCGTTTTCAAAACAAAAATCTAAGTGATAGGTATTATTAAATAGCTTAAAGTCTTGGCTTTTAAATAAAAAAAAGTTTATTGGAATCGGATACTCTGGAGGCTAGATCAAGCGCTTAGAGTAGCAGGTCCGGATTTTTTTTTGTTCTGTCTCGTTAAGCAAATCTACTGAGCACCGTTAGCCTGGCCATTAAGCCTTTTTAATGAAAATTTTCGAAAAAGAGCTATTCTGTTAATAAAGAGCTGTTAATAATTAATAAATTTTAAGAGCAGCAAGTTAATAAAGAGTAGCAAGTCACCGAGAAACCCTTTCAATTTTAGATGCTCGCTCTGTTGGTTCATCTCGTGGATACCGCTCATCATGCCGCAATGTGAAGTTCAACGAACGCTGTGCGCTCAACGAACGGTGTGCGCTCAACGAACGGTGTGCGCTCAACGAACGGTGTGCGCTCAACGAACGGTGTGCCGCTCAACGAACGGTGTGCGCTCAACGAACGGTGTGATGTGGATGCATCGTCGGTGGATATGGAATTTAAAATGGACTCATCATCGGCTGATCAACAGCAGCATGACGTCGTTCACGTAAATTCTCGTTTTTTCTATCCAAGCTTTGTTTGTTAAACTTTGTTTTCAATTGCCCTGGACTGTTTTAACACGTTGACGACATTGTCACCTGATGCTGTCTGACACATATTCGTTCGCCTGGGACATTGTCGAAAAAAAACAACGTTGCCCCATGCGATTGTTTGTGCAAAAACGCCATTGTCGTCAACGTGTTAATAAACATTTGAGAAACAGCACCCAATGATGAGCCAAAACACGACTTCTATGCAAAAGTAAATTTCTAACAATCCCATCATCATCATCATCAGTGTTTATTTCTCTACTGTTGTAAGACCCTAAGCTGATCGTCATTTGTATTGCCACGTTGTATCCAAGAATGGCCCCCTTTCACGCGCATTACTTCCTTCTTTTCCTAGTAATCAGTCCTCTATTATCATTCCTCTATCCAATAAACTTCGTTTACAGCTTTTCTAATTTTCTCAATTTTCAGAACTTTTACTATGGTTGAACGACCGGTGGCGGCTCCGCGACGAAAACCGCCCGATGCGACGTCACATGTTAGTCTTTTTTTGTGTGTTTATTCTTGATTAAAATTGAAAATTCGGTACTTTTCCAATATCGGGGGAGCGGAAAGATTATCGGGGGAGCGAAAGGAAAATCGGGGGGAGCAAATTTTGCCCCCTCGAAAAATGCATTTCCGGGACTGTATTTTAACTGCAACGTTTTTTCTTTAAACTTTAACGACGATGCGCTTCTCCGATATTCCGATCCGCTTCTCCGAAGAAATCGATTATTTCGTCACCAAAGGAGTCATCCAGTCGTGGATTTGCAACTGTGACGAATCGATGAAAGTCCGCTCAAAGGGGAAAGATCTATTTCGCTGGGTATGTGACACTTGCGCACGGCGGAAGGCCCCCAAGCATTCAAGAGGAATTCGAGGCGATAACTTTTTGCAGCAAAGCAAGCTCTCGTTCGTCACAATTTTAAAGTTCATTCATCTATGGAGCCAGGGACTCACGACAATCAAACACTGTCAGCAGAAGCTCGGCATTAGTGGCGACACCGTTGTTGAGTGGAACTACTTTCTCCGCCAAGTGTGCGCTTGGAAAATCAAGAAGCTTTCGATTAACAAGATCGGTGGTGCCGGACCCACCGTGGAGATCGATGAATCGCTGATCGCAAAGCGCAAAAACCACGCCGGTAGGATGCTGCCAGAACGTTGGCTTTTTGGTGGTCTGTGTCGTGAAACAAGGGAATGCTTCGCTTTTATTGTGCCGAACCGAACGGCTCCGGTTCTGCTTGATAACTCTTTGCAACAAAGCAAGCTCGCGTTCGTCACAATTTGTAGCGCTGCCAAAATTTGCTCCCCCCGATAATCCTTCCGCTCCCCTGATATTGGAAAAGAACCGAAAATTCTTGACAGTTATCAATCTAAAATCTTAAACATTAATCTTAACTCGATTCTAATATCCTCGATTCTAATATTTTTTTCAGTCAGCTTTGGTGACGGTGATTCGAACGCTCACCACGAGTCAATCAGCTGAACAACGGGAATTGCAAAAGACTCGCCTTGAAAAGGAATTCAAAGAAAGTCAAAAACAAATCGATAAACTAGTGAAAGGTTTGTTTTGCTTTTATTTTATGGATTTACAAAATTCTCTATGCAAATCGAATCATTTTAGATCACAAAAAGGACGTCGATGAGTGCTTGGTGGCTTTTCGCGATGTTTCCACGCAAATTTCGTGTAGGTTTTTGTAAATGTTTTGTTGGAGAACCAAGAATTGAACTAACAATTGAGAAAACAAAGCAAATGTACTAACAATTGTGGTTGTTGTTGTCAAATTGTTGTCCCGTATTCGGTGTTAGCTTTGTGCCAACTGTTTTGTTTTTGCTTTTATGAAACGCACGAAAGAAGATTACATTCAAGTTTTATGCTCTTTCTATATCGTGCAAAGCTTTGCTTTTTCTAGATCATGCAAGTCTTTGCTTTTTCTAGATCATGCAAAGTCTTGCTCTTTCTATATCATGTAAAGTCTAAGTTTGATCTTGAGTCCCTATTTTTTGCCTGTTTTTTTCCAAGTAAATTGTTATTTTTTTTAGCTTGTCGACAACGCATCTACAACGTGCGATCGACGCTCTCGAATTGCCGTGGTTTGCTGCAATCGCGACGAGATGATTTGAAGAAATTGTGGGAAGAGGATAAACAGCATCGTCACGTCGCACAAATCATGCAACAATTGTAAGTAGAATTTAGTCACGTATCGATTGCCTAGCTTTCTAGAGCCTTTGGAAAGAAAAAGCTTTTAGCTTCTTCTACTAACTTTTAGAACTTAGAACACGAAAATGTTACTGGTTTTTAGATGACTTTTAAAGAGTCACCCTTTTAACCTTTTAAAGCATTATTAGATGACTTTTAAAGTCATCTAATAATGCTGGTTTTTAGATGACTTTTAAAGAGTCACCCTTTTAACCTTTTAAAGCATTATAGTTGTGAAATATAGCCTCTGAAATATAATGAGCCTTTGGCCAAATTAACAAATTAACGATGACGATCCAAGATCAGAAATAATATTTTTGGTTTTATTTTTCTTTCCGACGATTAGCTAGTGCAAGCCAAAACCAAAATTAAAAGCCGGACGAACTTTTGAAGAAATCTTTCATTCTATTTATTTCATTTAACGATGACAGTCTGCACACAAAACTTACTTTTTGTAGATGTCGTAGCCGATTATGAATGAAATTTTTTGGTAAATCTTTCTAGTAGAGCAACCCTTTAATGTATGAGGACAATATTATATCATCCTGTAGCGAATTAAATTCTGCGTCGATTGGTACCAAATTTGTGAGTTTAGGTTAAAAATTACCGGCGCTACAACGTTTCATTCAAAATCGGCGGGACCCCCGTAGCCGATTATGAATGAGTGGGTCTAGGAGCGTCCAACCATCAAGTATTTGGTATCATTCAACGCAGAATCATTAATAATTATGTTAAATTTTTTAAATTAGAAAGATTGGATAAAAAGAAAAAAAATTATGGGGCCTCAAAGTTTCCTCTTGAACAAACAGTTTTTTGCTCTAATTTTTTTTCTTTTTATCCAATCTTTCTAATTTAAAAAATTTAACATAATTATTAATGATTCTGCGTTGAATGATACCAAATACTTGATGGTTGGACGCTCCTAGACCCACTCATTCATAATCGGCTGAAATTCATAATCGGCTACAACATAAATATCATTATGGACACTATCATTATGGACACTATCATTATGTACAAATAATTATAACTAACCTTAAAAGCTTGTTAATTACATTGAAATTGAGAATCTAAAGTTTGCTTGAGCTAGAATAACTCGAATGGATTCCATGAAACGTTTCAATAGTAATACTTCAATAGTAAGACTTCACGAAAAGTAGGTTTTTGCGTCTAGACCGTCTTCGTTACTCTATATAGTGAAAGATGACAGTCTGACAGTCTGACATTAAAACGCATAAAACTTTCTTTAAACGTTCGTCCGGCTTTTAGTTTTGTTTATTCGTCTTCCATTTGCTCTAGGAAGTAAAATAAAATACCATTTGAAGCGTTTTGCGTCTGGACCGTCGTTAATTGACGTAGATTGACGATCTACTAACGAGCACTTTTAGAGAAGAGCTACGCGAAGTGAAGCACAAAGTCGATCTACTCATCGAGCAGAAAGACCATTTCGAAGCCGCCAAATTGATTGCCCAATCGAGTAAGCTTTCGAGTTTGCAAAATGGTGCTATGTACTTGTTAATTGCGTAAACAATTTGGTTGTTTCACCAATGTTCTTCATTTTTCTTGGATAATCTAGTATTCTTTAGGAGATCTCATCGAAACACGTCTTTCTTCAATCAACGGCCTCTCCCAATTGAGAAATCAGCTAGCCGACTCGTCCGAAGCACTCGCGAAACGAATCGAGACTCAACTCGCGCAAATGGTCGTCCAGGAGCCATTTGATTTTCATGTAAATAATTTTTTTGACGAAGGATTTTCCTGGATCAGATTCTAAAGTTCAAAAAGATTTAAAGATTAAAGATGGAATTCGATTTAGATGATCGACGTCGTTCGTGGAATGCCAGAGAGTTGGCTTGGCGAGAGCGAGCTCACGTTGCGACTTTCGGGAAAACTCAATCAACAACGACAGCTACAAGGAAGCGTTTTGTCAACAAGGATACAGGTTTGACCTTTGAAATTGTAGAAGTGCTTTTTTTTTTTTCATTTTAGTCTCATTTGGCGGCTCTTTCTGTTCTCGACGGAGCACATGGGGTAGTGGAAAGATTGCTAGCTCTATCGGCCACGCAAATCTCGAAACAGGTACAGCGATAAAACTTTTACTAGTGACATCATGGAATACAATGGTTTACTTGCATGCCTTTGCAGCAATTTTTATTGTTTAGGTCTCCGAATCGATCTCGTTGATGAGGCAAAAAGCTGCTCACGATGAAAATTTGCACGGAAACGACAAATCACACTTGGCTCAACTCATTCAAATGGTTTGCTCAATGTGTACGCTTTTAGAATCAGTTTTTTTTTTCAGGTGGTCTGTCAATTGGAGAGCTCTCGGTCAGCGCATGCGGTTTTGGCTGAATGTGCGGGAAAGGTTTGCGGCACTTTAAACGCTTTTTAATTGCCCTTTTAGATTCCACAAATTGGTGTCGAAGCATCGCAGAAAGTGCTACCCGCTTTTTGGTACGCGGCACAGAGTGCGGTGAGTTTATTTTCAAGATTTATAGACCCTGCAGTTAAATGACGTTCTAAATCCTTTTTTTGAAGCATTAATAAACACGTCATGTTTGACTGAATTTGTTAATTTTCTCCATTTTTCAGGTCGAATCACTTGTCTCCGACCATTTGGACATCGCATCGGGTTCACGCCAAAGTGACCAATCGACATCACTTCGCTCCATCACCACTCAATTGTTCCGTTTTGATGCGGCCTCCTATTCGCTTGGATCCTCGTTTGCCTCTCCATCATCACAAGTTTGCTAAGATTTTCCCGTCAGCATTGTTTATTCTTTCAGGCTTCTCTTACTGTTTGTCCTCCTTCGCCATTCAACATTGTTCCGATGTATCCATGGTTGCGACGACTCATGGAAGCGGTAAAAACTTTATTCGTTTTTGGTTGCGCTGATGAGATTGACTTAAATCATCTCATAAGTGTTTTGTTTTAGGTTGAAGCCGCTACTGGTGTTCAAATGTGCCAATTGAGGCGATTCGTGCATAGCTTTGTCATGGAAATGTTCGTGGAAAGGGTTAAGGTAAAGAATTTTGAAAGAAATTTGGCTATTCAAGTTGTAGACAAATCTGGAAGAAAGGCTGATTGAGGCGTTGAAACTTGACGATTCGCGACTGATTACGAGTGGTGATTCGGTAAGGTTATTTGTTATTATTTGTAGTTATTTAAAGCTTGTAGCTTTAAAGCTTAAAGACTTGAAAATCTTTTTATAATTTGCAATTTTAGCCAATCCTCACCTCCACGGAACGGGTGGCTGATTTGTGTCGTGAGGTGCACGAGCTGATCGTTCAAATGGACTCATATGCGCATCGGTGAGGGTTTTTACAACTTTTTATATTGTTTGTTTTGTTTCGTTTTGTTGTTTGTTGTTGTTGTTGTTAATTGTTGTTTTGTTTGTTTCGTTTACACTTAAAACTTCATTTACACTTTAGACTGCGGCTTTGATACCTTTTATGTGCGAATTTTTAGATTTGCCGCCATTTGGGTTCTTGTTCTGACCGAGTACGCGACACATATCACTCAACTTTATGAAAAAGTATGAAATCTTTTGAAAGATCGAAATTTTTGAGAAATTTTAGACAACTTCACCTCCGATGGACGGCGATTCGGCGACGAGACGCAAAATTTCGTCGGCTGTTTGGGCTGCGGATGAGGATATCTCGCGTTTGTTGATGTCGTTGCCGAATTGGATTCTTGCGAATTCGACACAAGTAGTGTTTATAATTATATTGGTTCAAAAATGACATATTATTCTAAAGGAATCTTTTAAATTTCAGGGCACAAGCCCCAACTCCGCCACTCAAACGCCAGCGAATATGGAAAGCGAGCGGGTGATTTGATTTTTCTATAAAGTGTCTTAAATTGTGTTTTTCTTCAGGAGGTTCGTGATCGGAATGAGCGCGAGTCGGAGATCTTGATTAGCAATTTGGGTACACAAAAACAGGTTATTGATTACATTTGTGCTTCTAACATTTCGAAATTTGAATTTTTAGATCGAACGATCAGAGCTTCTTGGCGACAACTCGGATATTCGAACGCTTGCTGCGTTGCATGAATCGTTGAGGTATGATAAACGTATTTTTTTTTCATCATTTCATGCTTTTTAGATGGTTTTCATACGAGTTACGCGTTTTGATCAACTCATTGCCGGCAAAAGTGCGCAATTCACTGCGGGAATGCAAAGTAACCGTGAAACATGGAGTCGATGGACGAGTGGGAAATGATGTGAGTGATTTGCGAAACGTTTTAAAGTGCTTTTAACACTGTGCGCTTGTTTAGGAAGCTGTGTTGACCGCTCTAGAAGAAGTGATTAGCCGTTTGGAGGGAGTTTCATCGAAATGTCTTCTCGTTCTCCATCTCGAGCTTCGCGTTCACTGTTTCTATCATTTGTTGCCGCTCGCTCGTTTACGACCTTCTTCACATGAGGATACGGATCCGGAGGTGTTTTTTGAAATTATAAACACGAGTACTCAAGCGTTTCTTTCAGTGATAATTGAGTAAAATGAAAAAATATTGAGAACTTAAGTTGATGACTTTATGAAACTATAGTTTTTGAATGTTTGAATATGAATATGAGCCTAATTTGAATGTTTTAAACAAGAACAGCTGCGATATGACACTTTTGTAGTCTAACAGTATTGTGCTCAACGAATTTTCTCCTTTTCAGGTGGTCGAACTGGGCCGTGATCTCCAAATGTTCCACTCGCTCCTCTCCACCTATTTGAGTCCACCAAAAATGAGGTTCCTTTTTGGTGCTCGCAGCACACTAAAAGCTCTCATATTTTTAGGTACATCTTCGACGGTTTAGGACACTTGTGCGCGTCGATCTTCATCCATTCGAGGTTTCACTTTCAATCGTAACTCAAATAGTCAAAGCAAATCTTTTAGTCAACACATGCAGCGTTTAACGGAAGTCACGCGAAAACGAGTGTCGAGGAACATTTGGGGAGTGCAACAACGACTCGCGCAAATCACCGCACGACGAGAAGCCGAATTGGATCGAGCCCGGAATTTCTTTGAGGTATTGTTGTTTCTTTCAAGATGAAACTTTCTCTTCGATTCTTCTTAAAAATTTTAATCGGATCACTTACAGCTTCTCGCCTACGATCCCGACGAGTTGTTGTGCGTGTTGGCGGATCGTCTCTCACAATTCTCCCCCATCGAACTCAACCATCTCGTTGCCTTATCCGTGAGGTAAAAACCTTGTTTTACGAATGTTAAACTATAGCCATTTCCCGGCTCTTTTCCCATTTTTCTGCTAAATCACAAATTCAGATCTCATCCGACTCTCTCATCACAACGCGGGGTTCTCGACGAGAAACTCTCCCAACTCAGACAAATGCTAAAAAGGTGATATTTCTGTGATCCATTCTTATTGAATTTGTATGGATAAATTATATGCTTTACTATCAGCCAAAACCAATAAACAAACGCAACACTACAGTCTAGCAATGTCAAAGAACGCAGAGAAACCCGATCGGTTGACTATAAGAAAAATGAGGGCCATCAGCAGCTCCTTAAATAAATGCGTCTTGTGTCCATAAAGGCTTGATTAAAATGAACTTTTCAGTGATTTTAATTAATCATTGGTGCTTTAAAAAGGTTACTAAAATTAAAATTCCTTGTTGCTTTAAGCTTTTTGCCTAAAACGCCCAAAATAAGCTTTTTTCATCTCGTTTTTGACATGGCGACATCAAAGCAATTAAAATTTGATTTCATGATAGCTTAAACAAAAATTTATTTATGATCTTAACATAGAAAAAGTAAAACAAAACATTACTTGAGGAAGAGTTTCGAGATGTGAAGCATTTGAAGCACGATTTTATAAGACATTATAATTCTAATTTTTCTTATATCCGACCGATCCGACCACTAAATTGCTCTAATAGTGTAAAAATGTTATACAAATGAATTATACTTGAAGTAGTAGTCTGACAGATTTTCGACTTACTTGGCCTTCACATTATGTAACACAGGCCACCTGCAATCTCATCAACCAAGTGAGATCTTTGCGACAAACAGACTTCCACTAAGCTCCAATTCGCTCGCTCTTAACGAGACTTTACATGTTTCATTTACATTCTGTAAGTTCCCGCTTCTTTGTCGTGTGCTTTGCATGCTTAGACTGTTTTTACGGATAAGCTACGGGACCAAAATTTATCTCAACGAAAAATAATAAATATTGAACAAAGCAGGTGAAAATTGTTTATTACAGAAACTCAACAATTTTACCCTTAACGGTGGAGAACAAAGGACAAATAACAAAAGAAATAAGAGGATTTTACTTCTTCTTGCCAGCGGGGGCTCCGGCCTTTTGGGCTGCCTTGGTGACTTTGCCAGCTCCCTCAGATTTGTCGACGGCCTTGATGACACCAACAGCGACAGTTTGCCTCATGTCACGCACGGCGAATCGTCCAAGTGGTGGGTAGTCAGTGAAAGCTTCAACGCAAAGGGGCTTGGTTGGGATGAGCTCGACAATTCCGGCATCTCCGTTCTTCAGGGCCTTTGGGTTGTCCTCAACCTAAAGTACACAGATAAGTCAGCTCAAAAGATTTATTGAAATAAATGTGTATAACAAAAGCTACCTTCTTGCCGGTACGGCGATCGACTTTCTCCTTGAGCTCTGCAAACTTGCAGGCAATGTGAGCGGTGTGACAGTCGAGCACCGGGCAGTATCCGGCAGCAATTTGTCCAGGGTGGTTCATGACGATCACCTATACATTAAAAGATAAAACAACTCGTGAACAAAATCAGTTACCTGAGCGGTGAAAGAGCGGGCCTCCTTGGCTGGGTCGTTCTTGGAGTCAGAGCAGACGGATCCTCGTCGAATATCCTTGACTGAGACGTTCTTGATGTTGAAACCAACGTTGTCTCCGGGGACGGCCTCTGGAAGGGACTCGTGGTGCATCTCAACGGATTTCACCTGAATTGAACCATGATGAAGTGTTAGATGAAAAACACAATACCTCAGTGGTGACGTTCTGTGGAGCAAAGGTGACGACCATTCCTGGCTTGATGAGTCCAGTCTCGACACGTCCGACGGGCACAGTTCCAATACCGCCGATCTTGTACACGTCTTGGAGTGGGAGTCGGAGCGGCTTGTCAGTTGGGCGTGAAGGTGCGATAATCGCGTCCAAAGCATCGAGGAGGGTCTTTCCAGCGGCGTTTCCTTCTTTGCGAGTGACTTCCCATCCCTTGAACCACGGCATATTGGGGGAGGACTCGAGCATGTTGTCTCCGTTGAACCCAGAAATTGGCACGAATGGCACGGCGTCGGGGTTGTATCCGATCTTCTTGATGAAGTTAGAGACCTAAGAAAATGAAAGGTTAATTAGAACCATAGCTAAACGAACCTCAGTCTTGATCTCAGTGAAGCGAGACTCGGAGAATGGTGGCTCAGTGGAGTCCATCTTGTTGCAAGCAACGATGAGTTGTTTCACTCCAAGGGTCTGGGCAAGGAGAGCGTGCTCACGGGTTTGTCCGTTCTTAGAGATTCCGGCCTCAAACTCTCCGGTACCGCAAGCGACGACCAACACGGCGCAATCGGCTTGGGAAGTTCCTAAAAGAAAAACATTACAAGTTAGTTTCATACTAAATTCTCCATACTAATACTAAATGTAACCAATTACAATTTAACTTTTGCAAAGACCTGCTATGATTCCTGCTATACAATATTCCTTAAAGTTAAATCGTCAACAGCTTACCAGTGATCATGTTCTTGATGAAATCACGATGTCCAGGAGCGTCGATGATGGTGACGTAGTACTTGGCAGTCTCGAACTTCCAGAGAGCAATGTCAATGGTGATACCACGCTCACGCTCGGCCTAAAATTTAACTATTAAAACTTGAACAAGATATCACATAATCTCTACATCGCTTAGCTAAATCCTTACAACCAAAAGATAAAACCGACCTTCAGTTTGTCCAACACCCAGGCGTACTTGAACGATCCCTTTCCCATCTCTTGAGCTTCCTTCTCGAACTTTTCGATGGTACGCTTGTCGATTCCTCCGCATTTGTAGATCAAGTGACCGGTGGTGGTGGACTTTCCGGAGTCGACGTGTCCGATGACGACAATGTTGATATGGACCTTTTCCTTTCCCATTATTGAAGGCTTTCAAAGTGTTGTTACCTGGAAATAGAAAAATTAATTGCTGCTAAAAACTTTCAAACATAAAAAGCAAAACAAACAGTCAGCGAAAACGAGAACGCGGATTAACGGACATTTTGGGTTAACGGCGGTGCGGTGGAAACAATTGCAACGAACAGACAAAAAAGCGCAAAGCCGTTTGTGAAAAGTTTGGAAAAAAATTCAGTGCTTAAGCAACAACACGACGACTTACTTCAGAAAAGAAGCAAATTGTTGGCTGGCCGCGAAAGTGGCGAGCAATCAGAGTGATTTTTCTGGGCGGAAAATTCGACCGATGAGCCGCCGGGCCGCCTCGCACTGAGTATCGACTGCGTGGCGGCCCCTTTTCGCGACCAAACTGCGCATCGGCGACTACGGTACGCGCGCAAACTATAAATTCAAAATTTTTCACAATAAACCCCCAAATTGTGAAAGGATTTTTGGGGCGATTTCTCAACGTTGGGGTGTTTTTGTGAAAGTGAAGCGTTTTGCGAAAGCTGATAAGGGGAAATTGCGAACGAATTGCATGGTTCAAGCGTTTTTTTGATGGGAAAATGCCAAGAATGAAAAGTACAACGAAAATTGTTAAATTACAATTACAACATTTCTGCCAACAAGCAGTTTGTTTTTGTGATGAAATCGAGGAATTTGTTTTGATTCGACAATATTGTGCAATCGATTCTTGACATTTTCGTACTTTGGGTGGTTGCGAAGGGGCTTTTTTTATCCTGGCTTAGTTGAATCCAATGTTTTGAGTGGTCTGTTTTGAGTGGAGTGGATTGCTTTTATCTGTTCTAGGGTAGTTTCAAATATGCTTAGACTTTTAGGGCATTTACAGGGCTTTTAGGGCTTGTTTCAAGTTCCATATTGCCGCTTTTATTTGATTTTCAAGTGTAAACAGCTTTGAGGTAGCGCTTGGTGGTTAACTTTAGTACTTTAGTACATGAGATTAGGCTAAAAGCTGCCAAAAACTTGCTAAAATAGTCACCAATCCATTAAGCATAGTTGATACCCCTAGAATAGATTGATACCCCTAAAAGTTATCAATAAAACCGCTCAAAACATTAGATCCAACTAAGCCAGGATAAAAGTGGCCGCTCCCAACCACCAAAGTGCATTTTTGTGCTGTAACAATATTGTTTCGATTCGGTAACATTGCGCAATCGATTTTTGTGTTGTAAGGATATTTTTTAAGCGAAGTGCAAGCCTTAAATTTGCAGAAAGTGATAAAATTGAGTGATTTTGTCATAAAAGGCTGAAAGTTCAAGGATAAAGACGATGTTTTGGCCTAAAAATTCGTTCATAGCTAAGTTTTTGGGTACTTCTTTTGTTTAGAACCATTAGCTTTTTGCCATTAGCCCAACCATCAGCTTTTTTTTTCTATCTTTAATATTTGGAATAGGGTTTTCTTTCAAAAATCACTTTTTTTCGCTTTATTTATGTTCTTTAGTAGGTTTACGGATAGAATTAGCAAAAATTAGGCGCCGCTCGACACTTTTTGTGACCTTTGCACCGTCTAGATCTGCCTTTAGGTATCATGTTTTATTGATTTGTGCCTGGGTTAGGCTGTCCACGGCGGTAACTAGGGCAAATAATAAATTATGATGCATAACTAAGCTTTTTCTATGTATTAGAAGCGTTTTCGAACGTTTTTGAGAAATTTTCGACAAAATTTTAAAAATTTTAAACTTTTTTTTACCTTTCTCCCCACGCTAATTTTTTTGAAAAATTAAAATTTCTCAAAAACGTTCGAAAACGCTTCTAATACATAGAAACATAGAAAAGGCTTAGTTATGCATCATAATTTATTATTTCCCCCAGTTACCGTCGTAGACAGCCTAACCCAGACACAAATCAATAAAACGTGATACCTAAAGGCAGATCTAGACGGTGCAAAGGTCACAAAAAGTGTCGAGCGGCGCCTAATTTTCGCTGATTATAACATATAAAGGAATATAAATAAATAATAAATAAAGCGAAAAAGCCATATTCCCGTAATTTTTCAAAAAAGCTGATGGTTGGGGGTGGCCTAAACAGAAAAGTACCAGTTTTTGAAAGGTTGAACTTAGATTTGCTAGCTTTTTCTATACAAGATTTTATTCTCTTCACCCGTCAACAAGAAAAGAAACGAATTATCACAAATGGGGAGATCTTTTTGGGGGAAAGATTTTGAAGCTCAATCGTTGTCTGATTCGCTCGCGTACTCGTTGATTTCATCCTCATTACAACGATCCGATCGCATCTTTGCTGACAAAAGAGCCGCTGTCTGAAACTTTGAGTGTTAATGATTGCGCTGAAGATGCTGAAGTGGTTTTTGTTATTCTGATGTTATTACACATTGGCCCGGCTTTGATATTTTTCTATTTTTAATGCTTTTTCTTCAGTTTTGTAAGTTTTACGTTTTTCTTTAGTGTATGGCGGTTTGGCAACAACGGGAATTGAAAGCGTTTAACCTCTTAAGAGAATGGCTTAGCCTCTTAAGAGAATGGGTTAGCCTCTGAAGAGAATGGCTTAAGCTCTTAAGGGAATGGCTTAAGCTCTTAAGGGAATGGCTTAAGCTCTTAAGAGAATGGCTTAAACTCTTAAGAGAATGGCTCTCTTAACCTCTTAAACTCGTGATCAAGAGTGACAAGGATTTCGATGATTGGCTGGCCGATATGGGGCTGCTTTGGAAAGATCGAGGCTGCCCAAGTTGAGCATCAAAAAATAGAGAAATATCAAAGTCAATCTCATGTGTAATAATATCAAAATAACAAGAAATCATAGTTTGAAAATATCATCAGTTGATTCAGCATCATCAAAAACCCTCTAGTGTAAAATTTCAATATGTCAAGCATTTACAGATTGCTTTTGTCGAGAGTTTACAGATTGCCAACTACTTTTGCACCGCCTAGTGACTAGTGAGTGACTTGATGGGTAACTGAGATCAGCAAGGGTAAAAAGTTCAACCCTGGAATTGTGCTGAAATCATTTAAATCATTTAAAATCAGTTTTGACAAAGGAAAACTTGTGCATCATCATGTTAGGATTTAAAAATTGCCTAAATGGTTCATATATATTCATATAGTGATTTCTAAAAGATTATTCGCTGGTTACCTAGGCAACTAAAGCTAAAAAAAGCTAAAAAAGCTAAAAAAAAGCGAAGAAAGCGAAGAAAGCAAAGACAAAATCCTAGGTGATTCGTTTCAGGTATTAGCTTCTATTCTTCTTCTATCTTTTTTTGTAATCAATCTTTAAATTTCAATATTTCCTATACCTCAGGATCTTTGGCCACCTCGGATGCCGTTTTTCCGTTCTCGTTTTTCGTCCAAACATCAGCGTCCCGTTCTGGAATTGTCTGGAACTATTTCGAGCGAAAATCTGGAACTATTATGTGCACTAGAACATTGGGCACTAGAAATGCCCAGAGTTTAGCACAGAGTTCACCGTTTGACAAATATTACAGCACTCAGATAACCGATAGCCTTTATTAATTGGGTTTTTAAACAGCCACAGTTCAGCGAAGATAGGCTACGGTAATTTGTAGCTTTAGACGGATGTGGATCTAGTTTCTGGATCTGAATTTAGATCTCCTTTTCTAATTATAAAATTTAAACATAGAAACTATAGTTATTGATTTGATCAGATGGGAAAAAGTTGGAAAAACGTTTTTCAAAAAATTTCATGCAGGAGCTCTAAGGCGGAGGAGTGAGTTTTTCGGGAAACGGCTCTCTAAAATCGGCTAGTTTTTGAGTGCCCTCGCAACACGGGATGGCCGAGTGGCTAGCGCGCTCGGACCAAGTGCCAGAAGTCAAGGGTTCGAATCCGCCATCTGTCAGTTATTTTGTTTTTTATTGCTAATAATAGAAATAACCTTAAGCAAAAAGGAGCCATCCCCTACATGGATTTTTTTGGAAAATTTTTCGGAGATCTATCTAGATCCAGTTAAGGAAAGTAATTTCACTTTTAAACATATTTTTATTTTCTCGATATTCTTACAAGTAAGCGCTGAATCTAATATTGATCTCTATATAGCAGAATTTGACGAGGAATCGAACGAAATCAACCGCAGCTCGATCGGACGTCTGTAGATCGAGATACAAAACTCCGGCGTCTGTAGTGTATTTTGGCCGGAGTTTTAGATCTCGACCTACAGACATCCGATCGACTTGCGGTTGGTTTCGTTCGATTCCTCGTCAAATTCTGCTATATAGATATCAATATTACATTGAGCGCTTACTTGCAAGAATATCGAGAAAATCGAAAAAACGAAAATCCGCAGAAGTCGGTTAACTTTGACCGCTTATATCTCGACTTCGAAGGATCGGATTGATATAGATTTTGAAGTGAGCAGAGCCTCGCCAGGATGCCAAGCAAGGGCGTGGCTTGGCATCCTGACAAGGCTCTGCTTTTCAATTTGTATTTGAAACTTTAAAACTCGACCTTATTCTTGAATATTCTTCAAAAATCGAAAACTTTTCTGATAAATATGACTTAAAAATGTGATTTTCGTGATCAGCGTCATCGATTACCCTAGAAAGAGCAAGAAAGAAAAGCGATAAAGCAAGCAAACTCGTGCGCCTAACTTTATTACTCTTTATTAGTCGATCCTCACCCAGCAACAATCTCACACAATCCGGGTGTCCCCTCCAGGCAGCCGCGTGAAGTGCCGTGTCGCCGATTTTATTCTAAAAACACCTATTCAATAACATTTCACTCATTTCCGACTTTTGCCAAAATGTTGATTTTCGTGTTTTGCAGCAAATAACTTGTCATCTCGACATGTCCCCCGTGGCAAGCCCAATAGAGAGCTGTTGAGCCGGATTTGTCGAGACTGTTGATGGAAACCTGAATGGTCGCTAGAGTTACTGGTCTTGCTAGAGTTACTGGTCTTGCTAAGTTACCGGTCTTGCTAGAGTTACCGGTCTTGCTAAGTTACCGGTCTTGCTGTTAGAATTAGGTGTTCCTCGCGAGTCAGTAATTAGTCGAGTAAAATCCAAATGGGTAAGATTAATCGACGTTTTTTGTCGACTAGCTACGAGTAATCCTCTTTACAGTCAATTGAGTATCTTTCCATTTGAAGGGAATTTGCCACCAAATCAGTTAAACGGTTGAATATCTTTAAAAGACGTCGTATATAAGGCGACGCGTATATAAGGCGACGCGTATATAAGGCGACGCGTATATAAGGCGACGCGTATAAAGGCGTATATAACGGGGAGTATAAACCGGCGAGTATATAAACCGGCGAGTATATAAACCGGCGAGTATATAAACCGGCGATTATATAACCGGCAGCGCAGTATATAAGGTGGTGCTTACCTAAGGCAGCGCGTATATAAGGTGGTGCTTAGCTAAGGCGGTGCGTATATAAGCCGGCGCTTATCTAAGGCAACGCGTATATAAGCCGGTGCTTAGCTAAGGCAGCGCGTATATAAACCGGTGCTTACCTAAGGCAGCCCGTATATAAGCCGGCGCTTACCTAAGGCGGCGCGTATATAAGGCGACGCGTATATAAGGTTAGAATCTCTAATTAGAATCTATTTAGCAGTACGAGGCTACAATAGGACACTTACAAAATTAGCTTACTATCAAATACCATTTTTGCCATTCACTAACCTCATTCTGTAGGCACTCTTTGAGGAATTCGATATTTCCCCGTTTCGCGGCCTCGTGTAATGGATTCTGTAGATGTTCGACCTGTTCACTTACCACTAAATGGGATAAAAGATTGACTAACTAGTTAGCCAAAAGATTGACTAACTAGTTAGCCAAAAGATTAAATGCAAATGTTTTTTTACCATAATTCGCCGGCACGAGTCCCTTTTTTCCGCCGCAACTCGCCGAAAGCCAATCGGCATTTGGACCCTCTTCGGAGACATAAATGATGTCGCCCTCGGAAAATGACATCTCTTGAGTCTAAACAAAATTATCAGATAGAAAAACTCATAGATTATGCAATTAAAGTATTATCTTAGTGTTCTTTTTACTTCAAATCCTTAGATAACCGCCGCCTTATATACGCTTTATCTTAGAGTTTTTTGTACTTCACATCCTTTCTATTATTACGCAGCTTCACTCATAGAATCGGCTATGTCACAGAGAGTACTCAAAAGAAGTAATAGAGCTTTTCCTTTGATTCATTTTTATAAAAACAACAAGCAATCTAAAAGCTGATATGCTTGGACCTCTATTGATCTAGTCTATGGAAATGTAGACGTTACTTGCAATGATTTGCTTGACTGCTTGCTGCTGTTGCTTGCTGATGCTTGCTTTGCTTGCTGATGCTTGCTTGCTGCTACTGCTTGCTGCTACTTGCTGCTGCTTGCTGGAGAGGGATGGTTGGTTGCTTTAATTGTGAGATGCAGGAACGCGTAGCACAGGAATGTGAGCTACTGCTTTAGCTGTTAAAAGGCTTCAGCGACGTAGCGTACTTGTTGCTGCTGCTTGCTTACTGCTGCTGCTTAATGCTTACTGCTACTGCTTACTGCTACTGCTTACTGCTGCTGCTTAATGCTTACTGCTACTGCTTACTGCTGCTGCTTACTGCTTGCTGCTACTGCTTACTGCTTACTGCTGCTGCTTACTGCTGCTGCTTACTGCTGCTGCTTACTGCTGCTGCTTAATGCTTACTGCTTACTGCTGCTGCTTACTGCTGCTGCTTACTGCTGCTGCTTAATGCTTAATGCTTACTGCTACTGCTTACTGCTGCTGCTTACTGCTTACTGCTGCTGCTTACTGCTTACTGCTACTGCTTACTGCTACTGCTTACTGCTGCTGCTTAATGCTTACTGCTACTGCTTACTGCTGCTGCTTACTGCTTGCTGCTACTGCTTACTGCTTACTGCTACTGCTTACTGCTTGCTACTGCTTACTGCTTACTGCTTACTGCTGCTTACTGCTACTGCTTGCAAGACAAGCAAACGTTAGCAACGTTAAACAACGACAAAGCTAACGTAACTTTTCTCATCGATTTTCAAAACTCACCGATCTAGCCGTGTAATCGTAGAGTGCACGAAATACTCGAATTCGTCCAGGACGCGGTGGTCGAGGTGGAGGAGCTGTGGCCATTCTGAAAAAGATTCAGCTGTTTTTAAATCTCAGTTTAAATCAATATAGAAATACTAAATCAATAAAAAGATTATAAAAATAGCTTTCAAAAACAGACAAAACAGACAAAATTTACAATTTCCTACCATTTTTAATGCAGAATTATTTGAAATTTTCAAATTTCTATCTAATAATGCTAATTTTAGAATAAAAATTAAATAAATAAAGTCAAAAAATGAAAAAGTTACGCTAAATTACAATGAAATTCTCAAAACTAAACATAAAAATGAGAAAAATTGTTGTTCGTGAATGAGTAATGCTGAAAAAAGGGGAAAAGAAAGAAAAGAAAGAAAAGAAAGAAAAGAAAGAAAAGAATCAAAAGAATCAATCGATCACTTTCCCCCGCTCAATCTCTCTTTTCTCTTTCCTCTTTTCATAAGTTGTGTACATGCCGGGAAAAGGAAATGCAGCGATGGAAAGGTAGCGATGGAAATGCAGCGATGGAAAGGTGCTAGCGATTTCTATGTTTCTACTAAATGAGAAATTTAAATACAATCCGAAAAGTCAACTATTTTAGACAAACAACCTTACTAGGGATTTAGATTGCTTTTGTGGCCTAGTGGACTAGTGGCCTAGTGGACTAGTGGCCTAGTGGACTAGTGGCCTAGTGGACTAGTGGCCTAGTGGACTAGTGGCCTAGTGGACTAGTGGCCTAGTGGACTAGTGGCCTAGTGGACTAGTGGCCTAGTGGACTAGTGGCCTAGTGGACTAGTGGCCTAGTGGACTAGTGGCCTAGTGGACTAGTGGCCTAGTGGACTAGTGGCCTAGTGGACTAGTGGCCTAGTGGACTAGTGGCCTAGTGGACTAGTGGCCTAGTGGCCTAGTGGACTAGTGGCCTAGTGGACTAGTGGCCTAGTGGACTAGTGGCCTAGTGGCCTAGTGGCCTAGTGGCCTAGTGGCCTAGTGGCCTAGTGGCCTAGTGGACTAGTGGACTAGTGGACTAGTGGACTAGTGGACTAGTGGACTAGTGGACTAGTGGACTAGTGGACTAGTGGACTAGTGGACTAGTGGACTAGTGGACTAGTGGACTAGTGGACTAGTGGACTAGTGGACTAGTGGACTAGTGGACTAGCGATCTAAATCTCGCGTAACATTTTGTTTATTGGATTCATAGCTGTTATTTGTTTACTAATCGAATGGAAACAGGAATTTTCTAGGTGCATTTTAAACGCGTTCAAAAAGAAGGGCAGCTACGCATTCAAATGAAAGGGCAGCTACGCATTCAAATGGAAGGGCAGATGTCCAACGTTTAAAATTCATTTTCAAAAGCTCATTCTTTTCGTTTTCGTGCCAAACATTTATCACATTTATTTCTCTCACTTTTTTTTGCGATTATATTTCAATAATTTATTTTTTTTAGGAATGCGATCAATCAACGAGAGCTCTCGATGAATTTGAAGAATTTCAACGGGAAAACGATGAACGAGAAGAATTCTTGAAGAACAAGGATTTTGAACAACTTGAGGCTCTTCGAGGGAGAGGAAAAGCTGAGAAGAACTGAGAAGAACTCAACCATGGCAATAGGTGAAAATGAGGATAACGTGGAGGAAACAGGCAAAGAGGAAAAAACAGGGCACTCGATGCAAAGATCAAGCTTGAAATTCTTTGCCAAACGGACTTCAAACAATGCTCATTCCTTTCGTTTTCGGCTCAGACTGCAAACAAATTTTGTGCGCGACGTTCGTCAATCATTTATTGGAAAAAACAAGAAGGAAAGCTTGGTGATCTCAACAATAATAGACTTGATGGCCGATATCTTTTGGCGGCAGAAGAACAATTGCTGAGGGATAAAGAGCTACGGGAACAATGACTGAGGCAAGAAGAGCTACGGGAACAATTGCTGAGGCAAGAAGAGCTACGGGAACAATGACTGAGGCAAGAAGAGCTACGGGAACAATTGCTGAGGCATGAAGAGCTACGGGAACAATTACTGAGGCAAGAAGAGCTACGGGAACAATGACTGAGGCAAGAAGAGCTACGGGAACAACTGCTGTGGCCCGAAGAGCTACGGGAACAATTGCTGAGGCATGAAGAGCTACGGGAACAATTGCTGAGGCAAGAAGAGCTACGGGAACAATGACTGAGGCAAGAGAGCTACGGGAAAATGACTGAGGCAAGAAGAGCTACGGGAACAACTGCTGTGGCCCGAAGAGCTACGGGAACAATTGCTGAGGCAAGAAGAGCTACGGAACAACTCTGTGGCCGGCTACGGGAACAATTGCTGAGGCATGAAGAGCTACGGGAACAATTGCTGAGGCAAGAAGAGCTACGGGAACAATGACTGAGGCAAGAAGAGCTACGGGAACAATGACTGAGGCAAGAAGAGCTACGGGAACAATTGCTGAGGCATGAAGAGCTACGGGAACAATTGCTGAGGCAAGAAGAGCTACGGGAACAATGACTGAGGCAAGAAGAGCTACGGGAACAACTGCTGTGGCCCGAAAAGCTACGGGATCAGTTAATCACCGATTGGATTCGATCTCAACGCGATGATAAGAAGCAAATCACTCGAAGAATTGTTCTGGACAAGGCATCGATGGAATTTACAAGAACAGGGGTCAATTTCAATAGAAGCCATGGATGATAAGAGTTTTTTCGACAACATACGACTTTTTTCGACTCTCTTTGCGTGTACCGATAACCCAATGTGTAACCCAGAAACCGCCAAGTGATGAAAATTTTGTGAAATTTATCCTGTACCTTTGCGACATTCAAAAACCAACAATTATAAGTTCATTTTTGCAGCTGACGAGACAGGAGTTTGGATCGATGCATCTGGAAGCAAGTGAATCGATAAAAAGAGAGCTAAAGAAGTCGGAGTATTGACTAGGTGACAAGGGAATGACAGGGGACAATGTGGGAATGACAGGGGACAAGGTGGGAATGACAAGGTGCGCATTTTGGTAATATTGAGTGCCAGGTCGGATGGTAAAAAGCTCAGGTCATCTGTCCATCTTCCAAAAAACGTGGATCTGATGATTGTCGAAAAATTTGGAAAGAAATTGGTTCTCGCTTTGAAAGGATTGAACGGGACTTTGAAAGGACTGGTTCAACGATGAAATGATTGCCAACGATTTGAAGGAGTTGTACCAAGGTGGAGATTTCAATGGAAACGACCACTCATTGCTGATTTGGGTTCATATCAGCGAGGGAACCAAAAAATGTGCTCAAAACTCTCTAGTTGGATTCAGCTGTTATTCCTGAACTAACAGGGGAAGGATTATCCTTTCCTTGTTACAGGGGAAGGATTATCTTTCCCTTGTTACAAGGGAAGGATTATCCTTTCCCTTGTAAGTTCATTCAGTTTCCTGATGTAGCCTAGAATCAACCTTTCAAGGTTTAAATTCGGCAGTGTTATGAAGATTGGATGCTCTTGGATACGCCAGACCTCATGAAAGAAGAAAATCCAAAGCCAGCATCGACTACTTGTGATGGATTTCCGATGGGATAAACTTGCTCCCGAGCTAAGCCGTTTAAAGAATGTTGAATTTCAATTGCACTGAATTCACTCAAGCTGATTAGGGATTCGTTCCGTATCCGAAGATTATCTCATTCAATGCTTTAAGCCAAAAGGAGCAATTCCAAGGTTGCTTAGGTAGTTGCTTAGATGCTTAGGTAGTTGCTTAGGTGTTTAGGTAGTTGCTTAGATGCTAGATAAGATTTTGGTAGTTGTTAGATCTTAGATTTGTAGATCTTAGGTAGTTGTTAGTGCTTAGTGAGTGCTGGTGTTGCGGATAGTTGCTTAGATGTTTAGGTAGTTGCTTAGATGCTTAGGTGCTTAGGTAGCGATTTATTTCTATTACAGCATTTACGATATTCAGATTTGTCTTCGTTTTTGTGTTTTTTATTTGATCGATTGAGCTTTTGATCCATATTGTTCGATTGAGCAAAAACAAACAAAAGAAGACCGCAAAAGAACGGCGGAAAAGAACGGTCAAAGCGTTGACCTCAATCAGGGAGACTTTGCATTACAGATTAACGACTCATTTCAGCTTTGAGTGATCACAAACATAAAAGCAATAGCTTCTAGCAATCACAAAGGCGAAACTTTGTGATTTCTTTTCTCGACTTTGAATATGACTTTGAATTTACTTTGAATTTGAAACCGACTTTGAAAAAAAGAATATTCAATGCACGAAATTCGTTCTTTCCTTTCGTTCTTTCAAGAAATTCGTTTACAATTTCGAGCACACTTCTATCATACAAAATGTAGAATCTTCCATACAATCTTCAATTATTATGTAGGCAAGCTGTACTAAGGCAAGCTGTGCTAGCTCTAGCTTTTATTCATAAAGAAATCTGATGATTTCTTTTCAAAAGTTGACGCAATTCTTCTTGAGCAAGACTGTAGTCAAATGTTTTTTTTGGAAATTCCCTATCAGAGTCAAAAAAAAAACAGAAAATCCAATGATAAGAAACACCAAATTTTTGCACAGCTTTTTTGCACAGCTTCTAGCACAGCACAGCACAACGTATAGTTAACGTTGAAATCAGATGATTGATCGGGGAAAAGCATGGGAAACTAGAATTTAGTTTTGTTCGGTTTTGTTTGTTTTGAATCGAGAAACTTTCAAAGCCAATTTTGCTTCTTCCGAAACTGCTTCTTCCGAATCGAAGTGTTCTCCCGCAAGCTCATTACTCATCATCCGGAATAAATAGTAATCAAAATATATAGTAATCAGAAGGGGCAAGGTTCGGACTGTATGGGAATGCTTTTTTGGGTCCGAACTGTATGGGAGATGTGCCAAAAGTTCCCAAACAAGGCTATTTATTTTAGAGCGAGTCAATTTTGCAACATGAGGGCGCGCGTTGTCGTGGATGAGAACGATCTTTGACTTGGAGGGCCTATTCTTCTTCAGGGATTCATTCACCTTTCCCAACTGTTCACTGCATTTGATTGCATTAAAGGGGGTATTAATCGCGCCGGGTGATAAATTTTTTCGGCAACCCCTGTTTATTAT